TTTTTTTTTTTTTTTTTTCACTAAGCAGTCATATAAGGCTTATAAGCATTTTCTGGTTTTATATGCTTAGTGATGGGAAGAAAAAATTATATACCTTTTTCTTTTCTACCTTATGAAGAATAAGTAACCCAGGATGGAAATTTGATTTTTTGATTCTTATCTTTCATTGTTCCATATTGAGAGTATACTCCTATAAAGTTCAGCTGTTTTTATGTTTCATTTTTATCCCTTCCCCCCTGACCTAATAATATGCGTGATAAGTTTGAGATGGTGCGTGCTCATGAAAATATTGATATTCATGATAGCTAGCTCATGATATTATTGATATTCATTATAGGGAGCTTTCGAAAATGCTATGGCGATCCCTCCCTTTTTTATTTCAATGGTCTTGCACTGTCGGATGTGCAGGTAATGAAGTTGAATGTGAACAACTTGTCTGGGTTCCCAAAAGAGCTGGTCAAAGTGTTCCTTTCAATACTTACATTTGGCGCAGAGGCACCATACCTATTTGGTGGGGAGCTGAACTAAAACTTACTGCCGCTGAAGCAGAAATATATGTATCAGATCGTGATCCTTACAAAGGAAGTGCAGAGTATTATCAGAGGTTGTCTCAAAGATATGATGCGAGAAATCTGGATGTAGCTGTTGGGGGTCAGAAAAAGAGTGCTTTGGTTCCAATTGTGTGCGTCAACTTACTACGAAATGGAGAAGGGAAATCAGAGTCTATTTTAGTTCAGCATTTTGAAGAATCTCTAAATTATATTCGCTCCACTGGAAAACTTCCTTATACTCGAATTCATTTGATAAATTATGATTGGCATGCTAGTGTGAAACTAAAAGGTGAGCAGCAAACAATTGAAGGACTTTGGTATCTTTTGAAGGCACCTACGGTTTCAATTGGAATTTCCGAGGGAGATTATTTGCCATCACGCGAAAGGATTAATAATTGTAAAGGGGAAATAATCTATAATGATGACTATGACGGTGCTTTCTGCCTAAGGTCACACCAAAACGGTGTCATACGTTTCAACTGTGCTGACTCATTGGACAGAACAAATGCTGCTAGTTTCTTTGGTGCACTGCAGGTTTTTATGGAGCAGTGTAGACGATTAGGTATATCACTGGATAGTGATTCTGCATATGGCTATCAATCACCTGGTAACAATGCTGGTTATGTTGCTCCATTGCCTCCTGGGTGGGAGAAAAGGTCTGATGCAGTAACTGGGAAAACATATTATATTGATCACAACACTAGGACTACTACCTGGAATCATCCTTGTCCAGATAAACCTTGGAAAAGGTTTGACATGTCCTTTGAGGAATTCAAGAGATCAACTATCTTATCTCCTGTTTCTCAGTTGGCTGATATTTTCTTAGCTGCTGGTGACATTCATGCAACATTATATACGGGGTCCAAAGCCATGCACAGCCAAATACTTAGCATTTTTACTGAAGAAGCTGGCAAGTTTAAACAGTTCTCTGCTGCACAGAATATGAAGATCACCCTACAGAGAAGATATAAGAATGCAGTTGTAGATAGCTCCCGTCAGAAACAATTGGAGATTTTTTTGGGGCTAAGGCTTTTTAAACATTTTCCTTCCACCGTGATCCATCCCTTACTTGTGTGTACTCTATGTTTTTAACTGTTAACATGTTCCCTAATTTATGTTTCCTCATTGTGTGAGTTGCTTAGGCTGCCTCTGATTCTTCTTATGGTTTATATAACCTTTTGATTTTGACCAGAATGTGTTCATGGAATATATTTTCGAAGCCAAGAGTTCTGTCAGTCTATAATTGACCAATTATGAAATTTTCCTTGGTGAAATTTTACTGTGATCATTGATGTTTTTATAATATGTTCATGGAAAATATATTTTTGAATCCAAGTTGGTTTTTTTTTTTTTTTTTTTTTTTTTTTTTTTTTTTTTTTAATTCAGTCTATAATGGACCAATTATGCAAATTTTCCTTGCTGAAATTTTACTATGATCTTTGATGCTTTTATAACTTGCCTCTAAGTTGCCTGCATTTTGTAATTCCCTTTCGGCGAGGATGTAGCACCTAGTTAGGTTTCAGACTGGAATACACATTTGTAAGAACTGTTGTCAAATTCATTGTAGACCAAAACTATCAAAATAATGTGAAACATCTTCCGATCCTATCAATACTGGAGTTTTCAACCTTTTCTTTTCAAATGGTATTTTCCTTAATAAGATTGATTTCTGGCCATGCCACCTTGTCTGCACATTATAAAACAAGTAGTTTTCATGATTTGTGATGGTTATTTCAGGTTCCTTCACGTCCCTTTGGGTGCTTTCTGAAACCAGTTCCAAGCATGTTTGCATCTTCTGATGGTGGAGCCAGTCTTTTGAGTTTTAAAAGAAAAGACCTTATATGGGTATCTATATTTATGAGCTTTTTATTGCCTTTAGAATTTCATCTCCCTTCAGTCGTTCTGTTTCATTTAAGAAGTTCATTGGTTCTGTATATATATTCTAGGTTTCTTCACAAGCTGCTGATGTGGTTGAGCTCTTTATCTATCTTGGAGAGCCTTGTCATGTTAGCCAGCTTCTTCTCACTGTTGCACATGGTGCTGATGATACAACATTTCCATCAACAGTTGATGTGAGAACCGGCCGCTATCTGGATGGGCTTAAACTTGTTCTTGAGGTCTGGTATAACTCTGCGTTGATCTTGTAAAGTACATTTGGCCTACATTTTAGCTTTTTGTTCCTCCATCTTTCATGTTTTATTATTATTATCTTTTCTGGATCTTTTCTGCACATCAGAAATAGCAAATTACATTACATTTGGTCTACAACTGAAGAATTAACATAAAGATGACTAGCTGTAATGTTAAAAATAAGAGGATGTTTCTTTAATTGAATTATTGGAGCGGCCGTTTTGGTTTTGTAAAATGCAATGTTCAGTCAGCAATAGGGTTTTATAGTTTTTCATTATTTCTTCACAGGGAGCTTCTATTCCTCGATGTGCAAATGGTACAAACATTGTGATACCATTAACTGGACCCATCAGCCCAGAAGATATGGCAGTAACTGGGGCAGGTGCACGCTTACATGCACAGGAGTCCTCTAGCCCATCCATGTTATATGATTTTGAAGAACTGGAAGGACAACTGGATTTTCTTACACGTGTTGTTGCAGTTACATTTTACCCTGCGGTGCCTGGAAGAGGGCCAATGACACTTGGCGAGGTACGAAAACTCGATTGACTTTTGAAGAAATATCTAGCAATGAATATCATCACGTGACTCGTTTGTGAATGCAGGTAGAGATCCTTGGAGTTTCTCTACCATGGAGGTCAATTTTTTCTCATGAAGACAATGGTGCTAGGTTTATTGAAAGTATAAATGATCATCGAAGGCCAATGAACGCTTTTGGTGCTGCCATAACAAATGATAAAAATACTCTATTTTTTCAATCAGAATCATCTGCCAACTCGTTAGTGGACTTGTTGACTGGAGAAATAACAATTGCAGACTCTGTAGCACCACCAGCTGCAGAAGCTGTCATTCATGGGGGAAGTGACTTACTTGACTTCTTGGATGATGTTACTGCTCAGCCAGCTACTGGTACAAACAGTCACTCCATTACTGCAGCATCTCAGGAGCCTTCAGATAATGGTTCTCAACAGTACATTAGATTGTTAAAACTTCTTGCAGGACCTCATTGGGTATGTTTTGTGATGTATTTGTAAATGACTACTGTTGTCTCCTGGTTTACTGCTCTTCTTATATAGTTATTCTATGAGATCTTGTTGCACAATAGCACTATATTCAAATCGATCAGGACATCTATTTTAAGCATATGTGGTCATCTAAACAGGTTTATAGTATTCCCTTCTATGTTTAATTCACCCTGTACTACAACTGAGTAGTTTCAATAAATGTGCAATTTGTAGATGTGGAATTGCTGTAGTTGTCCATTGCAAAATGGAGCTGGAAGAGTCATTGTTGACAATTCTCCTGGCATAGTGCTAATAATGGACTAGATCAAAATGACTCAATTAAATTTTAGTGCTTCTTCTATTAGTTAAGTTTCTAGAAAATATATATCAAAAGAAGCAATGCACTTTGGGTCGCTACGGAAACATCCTCCTTGTATAATTACAAGGGTAAGGTCTGCGTACAACTGACCCCCCAAACCCCAACCAGTTGGGAATATACTGGGTATGTTGTTGTTTGTTGTTGTTGTGGAATTGCTGTAGTATAGCAGAACATGTGATACCATACTTTGCTGTACTGAATCTCACTCATAAACGTGTGCACAAATGCGTTTTTTT